TGCGGAAATTATATATAACACGAACTATAACTACGCAACATAATATGCAGTTCCAATACTTACATAGTTACACGTATTCAGAAACTCTTGTGCACGTTAAATGCGTACTATGTCATGCACTATGTTTGTATGTTATTATGTCCCACATTATGAATACTAAAGAGATACAAGTGTGTATCTATTAAAACTGAAGTAGGTATTACATATTATTAAGTAATGTCGAGGCGAAAACTATAAGAATTATAAATAAATCTTAGTAGTGATCTCTAATCTTAATTCTTGTCCGTCCCTATGTATGCTTAAATCTTTAAAACTACGCAACGGATTTTGCAGCGGTTTTTTTAAATAGATAGAGTGATTTTAGAGGAAGGTTTATACATATAATATATGTACACTCGTGCAAAGCCGGGACGAGTCACTAGTATAGTATAAAACAAAGTCGCTGTCGCTGTCTGTCCGTATGTATGCTTAAATCTTTAAAACTACGCAACGGATTTTGAAACGATCTTTTTTAATAGATAGAGTGATTCAAGAGGAATAATAATAATAGAATAATAATAATATATATATATATATATATAGTACATGTACACCCGTGCGAAGCCGGGGCGAGTAGCTAGTATCACATATTAAGTAATGTCGAGGCGAAAACTGTAAGAGTTGTAAATAAATCTTATTAATATTATAAACTCTAAAGTTTGTGAGTAACGGATTTTGATGAAACTCAACAATAATGTAGCTTATACATCAGAATAACACATACATATAAATGAAGGAGATATTATGTAAATTGACCGAAATATAATGTTTATTGTCAAGTAAGTGTAATGCAGAAGAAGTTTCGCGAGTTTGCTTGTAATTAATAAATAAATAACCGTGGACAATTAGCACAGCGCCATCTAGTCCCACGGTAAGCAAAGCTTGGGTTATGTGTACTAGACAACTGATGAATATATACATAACACCTAGAAAACATCTAGATGGATACAAACAATCATAATCATGAATACAAATGTTTGCACCGTGCGAGGAATCGAACCTATCGAACCTGCGACCATCATTCTTTTTGTAACACTGTTCTATATGTCACTGTCGTATTAGTGCATTTTCTTCATCTCCGTATTTTTCCTCATAAAACCCTCAAAACCTCCCACTCATCAAATACATCAGCTACATCCGCTTCAAGCGGTATACTAAATCCTAGACCATCGACTTTTAAACGTTTAATATTTTTTATTTTACTTTTTATACTCAATGGTCGGATAGTTCAAAGGTAAACAACTCATACAGCTATAACAACTTGTGTTTTTATGCGTATCGACTTCAATTGTGCGCTCGTACTGTCGTACTGATCCCGTTATTCAGTGGACCGAAATTTTAACTCAATGAATTACAATGCTGCATTACGTCACAGTATAATCTCGTAATTGATGCTTTAATGTTTGTAAGTACATTAGTGCCATTGGACAACCGTGGCCGTTACTTCATACGCATAGTCAGAATTAGATAGATAGATAAATCCTTTATTATTATGACGGCCTCGGTGGTCTAGCGGTTTAGCTTTTCCGCTTTTCTCCCGATGGTCGCGGGTTCGATTCCTCGCACAGTATTCATTTGTATTCATGAGTATGATTGTTTTATCTGTTACGCAAATAATGTAATTAACACAAGATATTTGTATGAAAGACAATAAAGAATTAAAAAGTTAATTGGAGAAATTTTCTAAAACAAAAGTAGACTAATTTACTCCTTATTACATCAGCTGTCTGCCAAAAAAAGTCCCGTCAAAATCGGTCCAGCCATTTCATAGATTAGCCGAAACAACCAGACAGACAGACAACAATTTTTAAAAATGTAATTTTGGCGTATGTATCTTATTTATATACATATGCATGTAGTAAAAAACTGTTATTTCAATATTACAAACAGACACTCCAATTTTATTTATATGTATAGATTGGAATTTAAATTTTATTTATTATTATTTTTAAGTTACTAAATGAAAACAGGGATATAAAAATTAAATGGATTATGTGAAAGTAAAAATCTTATTAATATTATAAACGCGAAAGTTTGTGAGTATGGATGGATTATTTTTACTCTTTCACATAAAAACTCCTAAACGAATTTTGATGAAGTTTTCCAGTAATATAGCTTATACATCAGAATAATATATAGGCTATAAATTTCACGGTTCAAACCGCGGGCACAGCTAGTATAAAATAAATAGTTAAAAATTATTTATTTATGTATGATTTTAATCGCTTATGATCAACACTTTTTTTGTACTAATATTTTTCACTATAGTCCAGATCAGTGTACACCTATACAGATTCAATTTAGAGGAACTGGCAAGAAATTCGAATGAATGATTTTTTTAATAACCAGTTTATTTACATCTGGTGCGTATTTTACATTATGTACTTATGTATTGTGTATGTATTTATGGAAAAATATATATTTCAGTATTTATAGTTTAGTTCCTAACATAAGCTTAGCTTAGCTTGGGTATAGATAGCATAGAATAGAATAGAAAATCATTTATTCAAATAAACTTAATTTAAGCACTTTTGAATAGTCATAACAATTTGTTTTATATCTACGGCTAACATTAAATGAAAATCCCGTGCATGAACTTCTATTGGCATGCACTTTGTCATTCAAGTAATCGTTTAGTTAGTAATAGGGTTTGCTCAATAAATATGATTCAACAGATGTTTTTAGTTTCTTTTTATTATTGTCTTGTCAATGTAACGGAAGTTAAAAAAGCACTAGTAGTCACAAGATTATGAAGAAGATATTAGACAATCTAAATCAAATTGGTTATTGAATTCTATTTAAAATATCCATAAATAGTTTCAAGTAAGTCGATGAATCAATTAGACAAACAAAATAAATTAGAAAAACAAAATTCCTTTGCCTTAGCATTTTTTTTTATATTATTTTTTTACAATACCTTTTAATTATAATAAAAAATATTTATAGGACTCATATCAGAAAACACCCAGACCGATACAAACAATCATACTCGTGAATACAAATGTTTGTGCCGTGCGAGGAATCGAACCCGCGACCATCGGAAGTAAGGCGGCGTGCTAAACCACTAGACCACGGATGCCATCCAAATATCATATCTTTATTTATTTAAATTCTTTAATGCACTAGATACAGAAAATAAATAAAATAGTAAATGTATATGAAATTATGCAAAAGGCGGTCTTATCGCTAAACAAATTCTTCCAGAGTACTATAGAGTTTATAGAGAAAGTAAAGATAAGAAACGGCTATGTAGAACCAATATTATGTTATCTGTGGTAGAACTCTTATATGTATAAATATAATAATATTTGTGTGTTATTCGTATGTTATTTCTCAGAACGAATATAAAATATGTTAATATGCTTTTATTAAACAATTATTAACCATTTTTGACGTTGATCTCATAAACTACAGACGGTGTACATCTAAATTATGGTTAGAGAAATCAACTGACGTAACTAATATTGCGTAAAAAGAAATCGAGTTATATAACCCATTAGGTGTCCCACAAAAGTGGAGGTTTCTGTCTGTACATTGGTACGCCTAATGGTTTGTAATTTTTTTATAGATGATTATGGAATGGTTCACCCGCCTGCGCTAACGGTTTACGCTGGCGGGGCACCAGTGGAGGATGATAAGATGAGCATGAGGTCAGGTCAGTTATGGTTAAAATAATATAATGCCGTCTGCACTAACGGTTTACTTTTTCGGGGCACCAGTGAAGGATGATGCTCATCAAAGGTCAGATCAGCATATCGTGGCAAGTTCATTAAGAATTTATCACTATGGTTTCCAGGCGGAACTGCGTGTATGACATGCTATAGTACATTGTTAGCAATAGGCTCAACAGTCCACATTACTAACAATCCCCTCCCGCAAAGCCTTATATTTGTACGTGATATATATGAATCACGATTCAACTAAAGGTATAAAAGAAAACGTGATTCATAGTGTTAGAAATTCTTTATGACTAAGAAAATTGTTTGCATAATTTGCATGTAGAGATATAATGATGGAAACCGATGAATTGCGGTTTTGTGGTTGTATCTGTAATAATTAATTACAGTAAATATATTTAGACTATATACTAACGGTAAATGGTAACTGATAACTAATATACGTGAATAGCAGACTTTCGTTTGTCTTGAATATTAAAGTGTAGTGCTCAGTAGTCCCATACTCAGAATTATGAAGTTTTATTAAATTCAATATTTCAATTAAAATTAATAAAACTTCATAATTCTGAGATATAATAAATTTAAAACTCTGACTTGCGAAAGTATAAATTTAGACTCCTTTTTAGTTGTTATTAGAGTATAAATGGTTAGTTAATATAATATATAAATATTAAATATATGTAAATAATAAAAAACAGTTTCATTTTACACAATATTTTATTACAAACGAAACGAAACTTAAGACTAGTTTCAACTTATCGTTATCATTAATTTATATATTTATGTATAAAAATAACTTAAATACTAAACACTAAAATATTGGTAGTGTGATTTCGCGGTTATATTACTTATGCTAATAATATGAAACTTTTAGATATTTTTTGCATGCAAAATATATATATTTTTTATTATATGATTTCATGATTTGTACCTATACATTTCTTTCTTTGGCATGTGAAAGCACACTGTCACACATTATCTATATATATTAATTACTCTATTTTACTTAATTATAAAAAAATATATAAATATGGCTGTCGTTATTGTAAAGGACGGAAATTCGTTCCATTAAAAATTGTAACTTAGAAATTATCATTTACAATCACATATATAGAGACGGACAACATTTACAGATCAGTAAAAAAGTTTGTAAAGTATAAAAAATACACGAATATATACTCTAAAAATATTGGCACCACATTTGAATACATTATTTTGAATTAAAAACAAAAAATTATAATATCTGTATATCATGACATCATCGTGTCTCACATATACTTGATGTTGCGTAAAATTTTACATAATAACATACCATTCGTGTCAAAATAAACAGATTTTAAATGTCAAGACTTCACTTCACAATCGAGTCTTCCAAAACAGTATACTATCATTAGTACTACCTCACTAACAAGAAACAAAACACACTGAAATGAGGTCAATTTTGTCTCATAAACGACCTTCTGGCATACCATTGACAAATCTCTTCCATGGCTGTATTATAATACAGCTCACATTAGCATAGTCTTACAAAATCTGCAGTCGAAGCTACACGATACTTAAATTACTATAAATGTGTGTCACGATGTGACACTTGGTGGGGGGGCGAGGTCAGTCAGATCCACGGAGTCTTAGGTACAATTGAGTTTTATTATACATGAGTCAATGAAGGTACCTATTATGAATCATGTACTTAAGAAGGAAACAACTGATTGAGCCCATACGCTCGAATCTGCCTCAACATTTGACCTAAGGCGTGGCCGAAACTGACTCCAAAGAATGACGAATTAAAATAGAAATTGCATTACGTAATTAAACAAGTTCCGAGTGAACGACGGACAATTCCAATGGAATGTATAAAATAAACTTAAACTAATCAGATACACAGTTGAGATTGGTGCGAAATAAAGATTTCTGTATTCCTTTGCCGCAAGGAAACGAACTTTATTCCCTATATAAAGCAAATGCAATAAAACACCGTGAAAGATGTACAGGAAAACTTTCGCTGGCGAGTGAAAGAAAAGTTCGAACCAAATCGGAGTTCGTTTCGTCTCGGAGCGTAAATATGGCGTGAAACTACTTGAATATTGTGACGTTTACATCGACAGATATATACTATTCGGCGGTAATTTAATACTGACTCACTCAACACCTAACATTCCGTCTCACCCTCCTTTCTTTCTGTTATATAATGTTCAACTTCCCGCATTGAATGAAACAGTTTCCACGCGATAATAACGCCTGTTATTTCGACAATAGCAATAATCAACGATGCGCCGGCAATTGATGAACTTATAATCTTAGTGTACACTGATGCAACTTTAGCACATCCTAATCTCTCATTGGCTTCCTTATCTGTGAAATCGCAGGTTGCTCTGTAGTAGCTATCCAAACAGCAGGTCAAAGGCAGGTCATTTCTCCAACTTCTGTAATCTCTCGCGTCGTTAGCACCGCAGCACTTGAGTTTCCTTTCGATCCATCCAAAAGCTTTAAAAACGTCCGGGTTCGATTGGGAATTGTAGTAACCATCGTAAACTGTATCCTTAATGAATCTGTCTGTGTCTTCACCGTCGACGAATACGAAAATTAAAGTAGCTGCGATGAGTTGTCCGACGATGATAAGGGTTAAGAAAATCCCGTAAAGTCCGAGGAGTCCTCTGCTTTCCCTGTTAGCACCACACCATCCACAGAAGGCCACTGTTATTATGAACAGGCCCAATAGAATGAAGAGCCATGGCGCCACCTGAGGCCAGTACACTCTATAGTCCAGCAAATAATGGTTGGTGTTCCTTAACCTCACAAACTCAGCTAACTGCACAAAGAACCAGATCCCTGTCGCAGCTGACACTAGACCGAACACTCCGAACACAATGTTCACACAATAGAGGATGGCCTTCAAAAAATCTTCTTTAGCCATCGTTGGTACCTATCGTCCGTCGTCGCGGATTGTTGTCAACCGAGTGAGAGATGCGATAATGTTGCAACAGATTTTATAAAAGTTCGGACGTGGTTGCGCGCGCGCAGCTCGAGACCTCAAGATCGACTGTTCGGTGCGCCCGGTTTCAACCGTCGAGGTTCGTCGTGACTGCATAAGAGACTGGTTATTCGATGACATACATATGGTATGTACGAGATTTCCAATCAACCACAGGTATGAGTAATTGCGTAAGGCTTTACTCTATCGATATAGTAGGTTTTGTTTATGATACCTCGCTGCTCTATACACTATTATGTTAACAGTAAAGATTGTTATTGATTTGTATGTACATTTATTCGTGGAATAATTATTTTTTAACCTTTCACATAAGTATAAATTTCATTTCATATAAATAGTATTTTCAATTATAAAGTTGATTTAATAGTGTGACAAGCGTATTTTTTTTTTATACAATGAAATATTAAACCTACATACATAATATAATTAATACTTCAACACAAAGGTTAGTCATACCTTTTTTTTAATTAGTTATAAAAGGAGGTAAACGATACATAAACCATATTAAATGATTAATGAATCACTCTATAAAGGTATTTACAATTTATTTCCGTAGAATAAATACCTACGTAGAACATAACAATAATTCTTTGATTTTTGACATTCTTTGATTAAAATATACTACTTAATTTTAATAAATCAATATTTCACAATGAACTCATTCTCACAGCAAATTAAATGTAAACATAAATGCTAGATTATTTATTAGATATTACTTGACGAAACAATGTTTTCCCGCCAATATGATGTTATATAATTAACAATTTTTTATAAATCTAACAGATTTTTAAATTAGAAACTTTTTAAATATTTGCCGAGGCACAGGAAACAGCCTACACTTACACTTAATAACTTATTCGTATTCAATTCTATATGCTAAAGACTCTTTCGTAACTTATATTTGTATTCAGTACAAGCTTTAGACTTTCAAAAAACACATTGCTACTAGTATTTCCTAATCATTTTCTCACATCCGACAAAACAGATTACGTAACACTGCATAAATATCAGTCGAGTGAGGCCCTAAGCCCTTTGTTCGTAAAAACATTGCGTAAACAGTGTGAAGTTAGTCACTTTTCTATAAGTAGAAAGTGAAAACTTCTATTTTAGTTCACAAATATTACGGTAGCAATGGTAGTAATTGTAAGGGAGATCAGGGCTGCGTATGAGTGTGTCCTTAGTCTACAATTGGACAGATTAATGATACAATCATCTCTGAACAAACCCACTCATATAACCGCACCCAAAGGTAACTTAATCTTTACTCATTTTTTTTAATTAGTGTACTTCTCACAGAAAAATTGGTGATCAGAAATTACTTTAAACATCTTAATGTACTGGTATTACGCAAATAATTCTCCATTACACGCCCAGGTGTAGCCCTTTACAACCTTCATACATCAGATGTCACAAACAATGCATTTGCACGTCACTCAAACCTTGTCATGCAAATATGACCTTTATATCCTTCTCATTATCAACAAAACATTATGGCGTTATTACACGCCCGATTAAACAATTCACAAACGCTATACCTATCTTTATATTAAAACTTTTTTGCTCTCAGACTCATGTTGCGCTTGCATCACTCGAGGTCGTGTATTTAGAGACTTAAGAGTTTTAATTGTAACAGCTAAGTTTATTATACTAATTAAAGCTATTAATACAGTTACACCTGACAGTACTTTGATGACAATTCGGGCGTATTGCGTCGCAACTGTTGAGCATCCGTGTCGTTCATTCGCCAGTTTGTTCGTTATCTCGCAGTTGATCGAGTATGGTTCCAACCAGCCGTGGTAATATACATCGCAGCATGACTGTGGGAAATCTGTTTTCCAGTTGACGTAATCACGTGGACCTTCAGCACCGCAGCATTGCAATCTCCTCTCGATCCTCCCAAACGCACTCTCTACGTCGTGATTCTCTTTCATTTGGAAGTATGCGTCCCAAATTGTATCTTTAATGAAGTTATCTGATGACTTACTGTCGGCGAATACTAGAGCTATCACTGCAACGGCTAGAGACACCACAATTGCTATTCCAATGAAGGTGATGTGGACACGAAGTAATCCTACCTTCCTCTTACTGGTTCCAACGAATCCGCAGCATGATATCGACATAACAAGGACGCCGACGATAATGAACAGCCACGGTATCACTTGAGGCCAATAGAGATTGTAGTCCAACAGGTAATGGTTGACGTTTCGCAAATTCGTTATCTCTTTCACTTCCACGAAGAACCACAGGGCTGTGCAAGCGAGAGCCAGCCCCAGGATCGCGTACAGCGCGTTTAGAACGTGTGAGCAGGTGTTAGAACCCATTTTTGATTGCACTCAGATCACGACACGAACGGCGTCCGTCGCCTTGGACAGTTCACAATTAAATGGCGTAATGCGTCGCCGCTTGTTGGTTTTATGAAGAACGCTCTTCTCGATCAAGGCCTTAAGGATTATTTCCTCTGAATGAGTCATAAGGGTTCCATTTCCGCGAAAACATGACGAGTTTACTAATTAGAATGCTAGTTACTGTTCGGATGATCGTAGGTTTACTACTGGAGATAACGCGTGAGTACGCATTATTCATGTTCCCGCCAAAAACAGGTTAATGGCGGTAACTGTAACCGTATTACCGGTATTGTATGCAATTGTTATACAAATTAACGTTTTTGTATTGTATTTATAGATGAAAATCTTGTTTTTTTTTCGTTTTACAGCAACTGGAATGGTAAATATAAAATGTGGAAATTATAACCTTTAAAAAAGAATAAAATGGAATCGCTTTCGTATATTCGTCTAGATGTTTTAAATTACATAACGGATTGTAATGTTTTTAGCAATAGATGGAGTAATCTAAGAGGAAGATTTATATTTATAATACGTGTACACCGGTGTGAAGTCGGGGCGGGTAGCTAGTGTAATAAATTTTAATACTTTATTTATTTACATTTTAATTCGGATTACATCCATATTGTGTTAGTAAAAACTTATAAAACTATGTTAGTAACTTATAATATACATATACGTAGATATATTTAATTCATATATCTGTGTCCACGTCCAGAAGCACTGGGTCCACAATGCAACGTTATCCAGTGCCTCTGGAGCGGACAATCAGGTATATTCGCAACAGTTTTTAGGATTTTCTTTATGTACCTAGTTTCAAATATATAACGAAATCCAATTCATCCTACTTGTTCCTCTTGTAACAATTTATTTATTTAATATTTGTTTAAAATAACATTTATTCAAAAGAGCTACAGGCAAGTTTCCTGCTCATTCGTCTTGTGTTGGATCTGTGTTTCGAAAAAGTTGTAGAATAAAAAAATATAACTATTCAAAAGTGCTTATATTAAGTTTATTTGAATAAATATTATTTCTGTTCATAAAAATGTGGAATCTTGATGGTCAATCGTTGTCTGTACTATGTAATATTATATTATCTGTGTATGTACATATAGGTACTTGAAAAGCACCATAGACTTTGTGATACTAATGGTACCTACTACAATACTACTGGTACTACTAATGGTATATAGTGGTGTTGTCAGTCGTGAAGTAAAGACTGATGTATCGTGCTACTACTACCGTAGCATGCAATTTCACTACCATATCTCAGCCTGTTCCTTTAAACAAAATAAGTCCTACCTGTCCTGTTTGGACAGAAGGCTTGGCTTGGCTATAGAAGTAGATGAGATAAGTTATAATACTAAAACTATGACAGCCTCCGTGGTCTAGCGGTTTAGCACACCGCTTTACTTCTGATAGTCGCGGGTTCGATTCCTCGCAGGGTTAAACATGAGTATAATTCATGAGTATATTGTTCCTTTAGGTCTGGGTGTTTTCTATGTATATTATGTATGTATTTACAAAAAACAATATCTCTAAGTATTTATGTCAGTTGTCTAGTACCCATAACACAACCTCTGCTTACCGGAGACTAGATGGCGCTGTGTTAATTGTCAAGGGTTAAAAAAAATGAGCTCCACGCGGAGGGGTGTTAAACACTCCATTTTATAGAAAAATTCAATAATAAATGTATCTCTGATTTAATATTAATAAGTTTCTTTAGTAACAAAAACATCCCGCTGTTGTACATGATGCTATACATTTAGGATGTAAATTTAAACTTACTTGTAAAAATACTATATTATTGTAATATTACAAGTAGCTCTATATGACGCATACGTTTTTAATTTATTATTAAACTGTTTCGTCATTATAACCAAATTAAACCTGTTTTATATTTTAACTAGTGCTTGCCACTGTGATTCTAACGTCATATATTGATAATAATCTAAATACAATGAATATAACAACTATATGATTAGGGTTGCCAGCTCGCCAAACCTAATAACCGGGCAGACCAGCCAGATTTGGCAGGATTGGGTAAAAAGGCCAGATACTCTACATCGGTGTTTCCCAATTAGTGGTACGCGTACCCCCAGGGGTACGTGAAGTTGCATCAAGGGGTACGTGGGGCTATCAGTAAAACAAACATACACACACACTCACAAAATTTCACGTATATAATATTAGTGTGATTGCTACAATAATGGGTACGCAAGGTTTGAGGTCTTTGTTGAAGTGGTACGCAGCAAAAACTATTTGGAAACCACTGCTCTACATTATTGAGGTTTTTTTATAGATGTCTAGCTGTTCCCGCGACGTCGTCTGAGTGGAATTTAACTTTATTTTTATAAAATAAAAGTAGCCTAAGTTACTCCTTATTACATCAGCTACCTGGCAGTAAAAGTCCCGTCAAAATCGGTCCAGCTATTTCCGAGATTAGCCAGAACAAACAGACAGACAGACAAAATTGAAGAAAATGTTATTTTGGTGTATATACCGTATTTATATTCATATGTATGTAGTAAAAAACGGTTATTTCAATATTACAAACAGACACTCTAATTTTATTTATATGTATATGTGTGTAGATATATAAATTATATATATCCCTTCGATGGGGTGATAGACTGGTTATTATTATTAATATATTTTTTTTTAAACTTAAAAAAAATCTCAACTCCCCTCTTAAGGAGAGGCAACTTAACCCCGGCAGAAGCACAGTCGGCCGAAGTTCAGGGCCCCAGGGAGAGAAACCGGCGTACAATGCTGGTAGAATCTAAGAGCACCGCTTTCTGCATTTTTCTTTAATATTATTATTATACTCGTATATATCTTCAGAGTAGACCAATTCCTACAAGCAGTATTCTATTCAAACCGAAAACGTACTTGTGTTATTTTACGGCAATATATTGGTAGGTATGTAATCATGACATCATTATAAACATCTGAGTTAACGTAAGCTGTATACTTTACCAGTTAGGGTATTCGTTATTTTTATTATTCAAACGTTTGTATTCATGAGTATGATTGTTTGTATCGGTTTAGGTGTTTTCTATAAATATTAATAATAATATATATATATATTGCAAATCCCAATCTTTACAATATTTGTTACAAAAAACACATGCCGTATTGTAAGAAATTTTTTTCGTCATCACATTCAATTTCCTCATGGATGTTTTAAACTCATCGTTGACTAAGGCTCGCGTGCTTGATCACAATGTTCTTAATATTCTTTATGTATTTTAAGTTACTATTTAGGTATTTTAAGTCAATAAAGTGTATATAAACCCAGATAGAATTTGTACGAAGTCGTCTACTGGAACATCTCAGTCATTTCAGCAGCTTTGTGATCTGTGTTTCAGTTGTAGATTGCAAATGATCAAGATCCAGTCAAGTTACAGGATAAGAGGCACTATTAAGTCCTCTAAAATTGCTACGCATGATTGGTCACATGATAACGTGATATCCGTAGTGCTGTTCATGTACATAGGCAACGGTTACCGTTTACCATCAGGTGGGCCATCTGATTGTTTGACATTCCAATTACATAAAAAACCGCGTGGAGATCGACCTGACGTTGAACATTATTTACAATAGCGTCATTATTCTAAGTCATGACTAATAATTCCCTCCCTCCGTTTCCTTAATACATTATGTCAATGAATCAACAGACATTACCTATATCTTCTATACAGCAACTACTCGTGAGGTCGTCTCTTCTGAAGGGCAGCTAGCTGTCTCTGGCATAGGAAAAAGAACCTTCAACCTTAGAAGTTAAGCTTTAGATTCGTATGGGTATCAACACTGTCCGACGACCACCTACTGCAGCCACCAATGAGCTGTTTAAGATTTGTTGCAATAGAAGGATAAAATGATAAAATAAGGCAGTGTCAATACCAACACTTAGTATTCACATTAATTGCATACACGCTCGTCATTCTATAGTATATCTGTGACGAATTACAAATTGCGCGGGAAAATAAAAAAGACTGTTACAAGACTTCTGCCGATTATCCTACTGCGGTTGCGCGCAGTGCAATATTGTTTATCTGTGGTGCATTATGATTGCGCGGGAATATAGAAAAGACTATTAAACTTACAAAACTTCTGCAGATCATCCTACTGCGGCTGCGCGCCTTACAATATTATGTATCTGTGGCACATTATGACTGCGCGGGAAAATAAAAAAGACTGTTACAAGTTGTACTCTATTCTATATGTCCATAATTTAGTTTTAATTCAATAATATGGTCAACCAATGTTGAAATTCGATCATAATCACTTTAAATAATAAGTTTGAACTTTATTTAGGTTATATAATGTTTTAAATTATATAACTATTGATTTTAAATTATATAAATGATATTTCGGCAGTATTGCAACCGCCAATTTATTTAGGTTCTATTGTCAAAGACTTCTTTATGTATGTATGTCAAATACATAGTTTTTTTTTTTATTAAAAAATGTTTTACGGCTCTGGTTACAAATCCTTTTTAGCCCAACTTAACAAGTGCACTAACTCGAAATTTTACAATACACTTTACAATTAAAGTCAATGACCAACATGTATTTGTTTCTTCTGACATTTCTCTGTTCTAACGAACTTATCTTAAAAACAATCACAATTTCTTCACAGTGTTGGAAATAAATTTATATAAGTCCTTGAATAGTATAGGCCTTGATAAGATCTCTTCTAGAGACTTCGGTACTGCATCACTATGCTCTTGAATCTCGTGAATAAGTATATGTAATGTTGCCATTTAACATCAGGGATTAGATTATTTACCATTCCAAAACCAAAATGGAAAATTAAATAATAAAACAAAATTATTGATTACATATTTAATATTTATATTTAAAAATAAAAATTATTAAATTATTAAACGTAATTGCGTGATGTCATATTAAGAATAGTAATAGGTATTTATGGTTATATTATAATTAGAATTAAAAATTCACATATATTACATTCATATTTATAATTAAATAACGATTATTCATTAAAAAAAATATTTATTTGTTCATATACATTATGGTAATTCTATTAATTTACAGTACTATATACATATAATACACATATAAGATGAATGACATTTATTGCTTGACACAAAGAATAACAAAAAGAATTAATGAATCAATTAGAATTTGATATAATCTAGAAAGTTGGGTCCGTATAATATTACATTGTATTGCGTTATATTTTGTAATATTAATAACAAAATTGTAACAAGTTAATAATTTACAAAATAAATAAATATTTATTATTTACACTGGGCGGAGGTTCGTATTGTATATCTCACAAACAAATAAAGATGATAGTATATATGTTGTGTGATGATATATACAAAAAAAGAGATGTAATTTAATAAAGATTTATATACAGTACTACCCGCCCCGGCTTCACACGGGTGTACATGTATTATACATATAAACCTTCCTCTTGAATCACTCTATATATTGCTAAAAACTGCGTTAAAATCCGTTGCGTACTTTAAAAGATCTAAGTGAATAGACAGCGGCAACGAATTCCTTTTATACTATGAAGAGACATATGATATATAGTTATATATATATATATATATATATACTACATCCGTATGTATAACATCCATGTTCGACCTACAATAAGATTTACTGGCAGTTTTCTAAATTACTTTATCTATGTTTAAAAAAGAAGTATTCATTTAGATTATGATTTTTATCTACAATTGTCACTGCGCTTTGCTATAGTAAACGTCTAAAATCATATCTCTTATTAATTAATATTACTGTCTGTCTGTACTATTAAAAATTGTATGAGCAGTATAATGAACAATAAGCACCATACATACACACATCATTCATCTCAGTATAAAGCATTCACAAATTAATTGTAACACTTATCTGATCTCCACAAAGGTTACATTGTTTAACCAAATGACGTAAACTATACAATGAACAATCTGTAAATCCTATACACTAATATTGCAATAATTTACCTTATATGTATCTATACAATTGTATATTTAATAACTAAAATATTTACAAATATTTACATTAATTTATCACGCGGAAATACATTTTTATTTATTAATTAAATGTAATTAACAAATTAATGAATTCACAGATTGAAAACAATCCATAAAAATTACTCGTACATATTATGGAGATTCTTTGGCAAATTACAAGGAAAATAATAATTATTTATTTATTTTTCTCTTAAAGGCATTTTCAATGTATCTATATCGTTATTATGTGGCAGTCTGGTCGGGTTCCTCTTTAAGTTACCCCATAAGAAAATGGCTACAACTAAATTTATAATTCCTACCAAACTGCTAACCAACGACGCTACAGATAAGGCCAGAATAAATATCCTAGCGTACTCTGTGACCACCTCTATACAGCCATGACGTTCATAAGTTATGCTATTACTAAATTCACATGCTCCGGAGTTAGGATGGCAACAAGACTTCGGGAAATGTGTCATCCAGGATGTGTACTCATTTGGATTCTTCGCGCCACAGCATCTGAATCTCGTCTCGATCTGTCCGAACGCAGTTGCGATGTCATCGTGCGCTTTCATCTCGGATTTTGCATCCCAAATTACTTCAGATATAAAATCGTCAGTTGGTTTTCCATTAGCGTATACAAGCGACACGCAGCCCGCTGCGATGGATCCAATTATTGCAATTATTAGAAATATATAATATATTACTAATACACCATTTCCTCCACACACACTGCAGTAACCACATAATGATACGAGAACTAATAGCACACCGACTGCTAGAAATATCCACGGAATCGCTTGAGGCCAGTACACTTTGAAATTAAGCAGATATCTATCACTGTTACGTAAGTTAGTGATGTTCTTCAACTCTATAAAATACCATATTGACACTGCAGCTAACGCGAAACCGATTAGAGCGTACAAAACGTTCAAAATCACTGACACAGACCTCAAAATGGTGGCCATGACTGCTCTAATTTCTATACACGTGCGTGCTTCTGGAGCGCAAACAATTTAATAGATGATCACAACGTACCAATTGCTTTTATATGTCAGGAAACTGAATGGGTTAATCATCGCGTTGTAATTATGGTGTTGGGATGCTCGATACTTTAGTTGTTATTTATTTCGATTTGAATTTCGAATACGTTATATGATAATGCAAGTTTATAGTTTTAATTGACGCAGGAAATATTATTATTATGCCATAATAGCTTAGTTAGTACCAATTTAATTATTCTAGAATTTTCTGGAATGTAATTATTTGGAAGATATAGATTATATAGATACGTTTCGTTATACACAGTGTATTCGTTTTTTTAATTGTAGTGAGAGATATATTACAGTAGAATTCGACCATAAGACTAATGCAAAATTCAATTAGAGTACAGTCAGAAACATTTATATCTAAATCATTGTTAGGTATTTTGTCAGTGACATTATTGACAAGTATAAATAATTAGCTTTAAGTTACCAACTAATTTAGACGGCCTCGGTTAACTAGCGGTTTAACACACCGCTATATTTTCGATGGTCGCGGGGTGGATTCTTCCCATGGTGCATACGTTTGTTCCTAATAATGATTGTTTGTACCGGTCTGTATTTTTGTTTTTCATTTATCTAGTACCCATAACACAAACTGCTTACCTTGGTACTGGATGACGTTGTGTGAATTGTACAGGAGTGTTACTATAATTAGTTAACGTATGTAATATTACCTTATCTGTGATTAAGGTCATTTAAATAACTAAAACTTGTTCCATTTCGGTTCAGTAGTTGATTATAAAATGGCCACCCGCCTGCTCTATCAGTATATACTACCAGGGAACCTGTGGTGGATGACAGGATGAACATGAAGTCAGGTCGATTAGCTCATTATGGTCAATTTACCATTAATTAACCAAGATAGTTAGCGGTTTACAAACTGCGTTTTACGAAGACTTTATTTTACTAATATTATAAAAACGAGAGTTTGTAAGTATGGATGTATGGATGTGATGATTTTGATGAAACTTTATAGTAATATAGCTTATACATCAGACATGATATAACATCATCATCTGCTTCTTCCTTATCCCCGGAGTAATATATTTTTCTCTTCAATTCATCCCTTTTCCATCCATACCATCCAGACGAAGCTATGCAGGACTAGTCCAACAATACTTTATATAATCTACTGAGACTACAACCATATTGTTATTCTACTATCATACTTTATATATTATTGAAATTGGATCCCTTGAGATATTATTTATATAAATACAGTATATAGACAAAGTATACCAGAAGCCATTTCATAAATAAATATAACATATATAGGTATCAATGGAGTCTCTAGAGTCTAAATGAAGTAAATACTGCATGTATTTAACAATTAATACGACGTTCAAGAAGAGTTAGCATCGCCTCTACCAGCATTAAACGAAAATAGATTCTATGTACACCAACATATGGTTGAAAATGTGACTTTGTCTAATATTACACAGTAAACAAATTCTTTGTTTTTAATGAGATAAGTCTGAACACAACCATCACAAAATTGGTATTACAGGTTCATACAAAAAATATTTTTTATGTGTGACTGAAACCTAGTAGAATTATCATTTTATATCATTTATTTGAAATACAACATTATATATACACTAGCTTTTGCCCGCGGTTTTCGCCCGCGTTAATTTATCCCCTTAGGGGTGGAATTCATCAAAATCCATTCTTAGGGGATGCCTACGTCATGGAAGCTTTATGCATGCAAAGTCTCAGCCCGATCGGTTTAAAATTGACAAAGTTTCATACAAACTTTCATCCCCTATTTTATCCCCTTAGGGGTAGAATTAATCAAAATCCTTCCTTAGCGGATGCCTACGTTATAACATGTACCTGCATGCCAAATTTCAGGCCGATCCGTCCAGTGGTTTGAGCTGTGCGTTGATAGATCACTATGTTAGTCAGTCACCTTTGATTTATATACATTTAGATATAGAGACAGCCACGTTGGTCTAGTGGTTTAGCACACCGTTTTACTTCCAAGAATCGCGGGTTCGATTTGTAACTGTTAATTAGAAATTACAAACTTCAATTTTATTTATTTGTATACATTAGTCTATCCATTACCATTTACGCGAAACTGACTGTACTTATATTATTGCCACATTTTCCTGAATAATTTGTCATAAATATTTATTAATTTAAACAAGAGGACATTATACATATATGATAGAGTCAATAAGATCTCTATTCTTATCAATCCTCAATAATAAAGGGATATTGTTAATTTAATTACTTTATGTAGGCCCTAATCGTGAGTTCTACACTATAAACAGGATCTTCAAACGGGAGTTGACCCTCAGCCCACTCCATAAGTCTCCGCAGTTTTAATATTATATATGTATATATATTTATTTTATGTGTGACTGTTGATCCTAGTAGCAATGTATGTCATTTTATATCATTTCACTGGGGTACCATCAAATATTCCTGGTGAATTTGCCACGATTTATAAATATACCTTAAGTTCATCTCATCGTCCTCCACTGGTGCCTCGCCAGCGTAAACCGTTAGTGTAAATAAAATTGTAAAGAAAGAAAGAAAGAAAGAAAAATATTTATTGACAACCATTATTGATATAAATATACATTGACACATTTGACATAGGTATATTTTACACATATATATATAATATATATATATGTATGCACACATATACACATATATACACAAGTAGAACAATGACAAACATATATCTATTTTTATTACTTAATTGTACAACTAAGAACCTAAAATTAAAAACCTTAATAATATAATATAATAACTAAAATATATTATCGAAAGGAGTCCCTTTAGGCAAAGTTCCGAAGATACTGGCAGCGTTCCCACTTACAAAAAAGATCTATAATATTTATATACAATGGTTTTTTTATGGATGATAATGGAATGGAGCACCCGCCTGCGCTAATGGTATACGCTGGCGGGGCACCAGTGGAGGATGATAAGATGAACATGAAGTCATGTCAGTTAGCCCATCGTGACAAATTCACCAGGATTTTATAATGAAGGTTTCCAGGGGGAACCGCGTGGAGGTCAACCTGACATGGTACATTGCTAGTAATGGGGTCATGAGACCACATTACTAGCAATCCCCTTCCCAATACATTGGTTGGCAACATGGCTGACACTCAGCATTTATGGCATTCAACATTTTAGCTATATGGTATATACTCGACCAGCTCTGGCCAATAGCATTATAATAGTTAAAAAAAGGAATAATCAAAAGTTTTCATTACATAGTATATATGTATTTATTTATTTAATCTAAATATAGGTATATAACTCGAAGGTGACTGACATAGTGATCTATCAACGCACAGCCCAAACCACTGGACGGATCGGGCTGAAATTTGGCATGCAGGTAGATGTTATGACGTAGGCATCCGCTAAGAAAGGATTTTGATTAATTCTATCCCCAAGGGGATAAAATAGGGGATGAAAGTTTGTATGAAAATTTGTTAATTTTAAACCGATCGGGCTGAGATTATCCATGCATAAAGATAATATGACGTAGGCATCCCTTAAGAAAGGATTTTGTTAAATTCCAACCTTAAGGGGATAAATTAACGCGAGCGAAGCCGCGGGCAAAAGCTAGTACTATATATGATTATGGACTCATTGAAATCTAAATAATATTTTTTTTACATTGTTTTTTTAAATTGTAAACATATTTTTCGTGTTGTATGTTGTACTGACGGAGTGATCATTTATTATATGGGTTTTGGCACCAATTTTATTTGTGTTTCTCACTGTGACCTATTGATAATGCATTTAAAATCAATAAAAATAATAATAAAAGATAGAACGATAATAATTTATTGTATAATCTAAAATCAAGTATGTTGTAAATTGTTGCATACCCGATAGGGTGAAACTGTTGATACATAGCTATATATATTGTTATACCACCCACAAAAAAAATGTACCCACACAGTTAGCAATAAAGATATATTCTATTCTATTCTAACGTGTTGACAGAAAAAAAAATTTTTTTTATTTATTTTTAATTAAATTTCATGTGCTAACATATGCTCTGCCCACATAAATATCTGTTGGCCCAATGGTTAACCAGGAGAACGTGCCTTAAGTTGTTAAGTTTATCTGTATTTGTGTGTTAAAGTTTTATTAAATAAAATAAATAAATAAATATAAAAAGACATTTACCAGTACAAAAGTATCTATCTAACATATCTTCTATTCTTTTGCCAAAAAACTGTTTGTCTGTTTGTGTGTTAAAAATACTTAAACTCATTCTTTTTGTAAGTACATATATATATAAATGCTAGGACCGGTACAAACAAATGTACACATAAATACAAATGTTTGTATCGTGCGAGGAATCGACCCTCGACCATCGGATGTAAGGCGATCAGTTAAATCAGTAACCACCAAGGCCGTCAATGGTAAATAAGGCTGGATCCACATTATAAGGTCGATCATGATTTTAGAATTAATATTAATTTAACATTATTTCAATATACAAATAAACCTTTGACAGAAAATGACTGTAAAAGCAGTGGCACTCAATGAGGAAATAGCCATTATTATTGCTAAAAGTTGCATATAGATGGCGTGATTGGTATCGATGGAATTCTTCATAGTTTTGCAAACGTTTTAAAAAACAAAACTGTGTTTTCAAAAATGTTTAATCAATTTTTAAAAAGTTATGTATACATGTTAAAATGAAATAATGCGTTTAGAAAAGTAATTTTCATATATTTACTCATTTTGTTATTTTCCAGTACTTAATTACACTTTAATCAGTGCTAATATGGGGCTCAATGTTTTCAAAATGCTTTCATAGATGGCATTGTCGTCATTTGTATCGGCCTAATTAAATGTCTTTTTTATATTTTCCAATAATAAGCACTTAATATATTATTATTGTAAATTAAACATATAAAAATTTTTTAAGTAAATTAAAAATAGCCGAACAAGCAAGTAATAATATT